CCAGTTCATGGCGGACGTCGTCGTCGTGGGCCCTCTCGGCGGCAAAGTCCCAGTCCGGTTGCTTCGGAATATGGCGACAACAGAGAAATTCTAGCGCCGGACAAACGACCGCTTCGTCTCGACATGCCCAGATTTAGCGGCGAGGATGTCTATTCTTGGTTGACGAGGGTGGAACGCTACTTTCTGGTCAATCGAATTGGGGATCGGGACAAGCTAGATGCAGTCATGATCGTTTTGGATGGGGTTGCTCTCAATTGGTTTCAGGTGTGGGAACGTAATCAACCCAACGCTACTTGGGGGGATTTCAGGGAGGAGGTGTTGGAGAGGTTCACGGCTGCTAAGTTGGGAGGTCCTTATCAAGAACTTATGAACCTTCGCCAAACGGGAAGTATCGCGTTATTTCGAGCTGAGTTCGAAAGGATCATCAGTCCCCTCCATTACGTCGATGACCACATGCTAAGGAAAATCTGGCTCCATGGGCTCAATGAAGGTTTCAGAACGGAGCTACTACAGAAGGAGGTTCGGACCTTGAGTGACCTGATGAAAGAAACGACAGCGTTAGAAAAAAGGAAACAATCTTGGGTTCAAGATGGATTTGGGCTAAATGGGGGTGGCCTCAACGCGAAGTGGGGTGGGCTCAATTGAATTGCTCAGCCCCTTCGTAATACAGTGCCAAACCCATGTGCCAGACACGTGCATCACTTATCACATGCTGGAAGTAAGGGTGACACGCGGCCACACTTGCCCTCATCAGGAACGGACACGCGTAACACTGGGACTATATTTGGCAGCCCTAATCAAACGATGGGTGTCCCTCACGGGTCTGAAAGTGTCGGCAACCAGAGCTCAAGGGTAGAAAGCCGTCGTTTGCCTCAGGCAGAACTCCACGAGCGTTCAAGGAAAGGCCTTTGCTTCAAGTGCGGTGCCAAATGGAATATCAACCACCGTTGTAAAATCCCTCAGTTGAATCTGCTGATTATCGAAGATGATGAGGAGGAAGAAGGCGACCCGAACATCAGACCAACAAGCGCAGTTAAGGTGGAAGTTCCGTCAGAAGAGGAAGCTATGTGTCAGATGTCAACATTTAGTTTACTGGGGCTCTCTTCGAACCAAAGCATGTAGCTGTGGGGGTCAATACGGGGTGAGCGTTTGGTGATAATGGTGGATAGTGAGGCTTCGCGAAATTTTGTGGAACGCACAGTGGCTACACATTTAAACCTCACGGTGGAAGACACACCCACTTACAACGTGGTGGTGGGGGACGGTTATAAGGTGCAGTGCCAGGGGGTTTGTCGAAACGTCAACATCGATGTTCAGGGAGCACAATCTTGCCACGATTTATTCCTCTTCGAATTAGGAGGTGTTGAATATCTTGGGGCTTGACTGGCTCAATAGTTGGGGAGAAATGAAGGCTGATTTTGGTAACCTAACACTTAAGGTTTGTGTAAAAGGACACGAGGTCACGCTGCGAGGAGATCCCGTTCTATCAAATACTACAACCATGACAACACTGCGTTCTATGGTCAAGGCTTTAACTGAAGCCCAACAAGGGTTTGTGGTGGATCAACATTGGCATCAGGAAAGCAAAGACGACACGGAAAATTTGTGGCCTGAACTTGAGGCATTGTTGTGCGACTATGGTGCTGTTTTTCAGGATCCTCAGGGCCTACCACCAAAGAGACGCCAAGATCACTCCATTATCCTCAAGGCAGGGAGTACAACACCCAACATACGGCCTTACAGGTATCCTTACTATCAGAAAACCATCATTCAAAAATTGGTTTCTGAGTTGCTAATTTCAGGTTTGATACGACCAAGTGAGAGCCCGTACTCGTGTCCTATAATTTTGGTGAGAAAAAAGGATGGCAGTTGGAGAGCTTGTGTGGACTACCGTTCTTTGAATAAAATTACTGTTCCAGTCAAGTTCCCCATTCCGGTGATTGAAGAACTTCTGGATGAGCTCGGGGGAGCTAGGATGTTCTCTAAATTAGATCTCAAATCAGGGTATCATCAAATCAGGATGAAGGAGGACGACATATCTAAAACGACATTCAGCACACATGAAGGCCATTACGAGTATGTAGTGATGCCCTTTGGGCTCACCAATGCTCCTGCCACCTTCAATTCGTTGATGAATGAAGTTTTAAAACCATTTCTCCGTAAGTTTATGTTGGTCTTCTTTGATGATATACTCATCTATAGCAACAGTCAAACAGAGCATGTGCAACATCTTCAGAGGGTGTTTGAGGCATTAAAAAGCAACTGTCTGGTGGCAAATCGAAGAAAATGCTCGTTTGCTTTGCATCAGGTGGAATATTTGGGCCATCTTATCTCTCAAAACGGGGTATGTGTTGATCCCAAGAAGGTTGAAGCAATGCTTCAATGGCCGATTCCCAAGAATCTTAAGTCATTAAGAGGGTTCTTAGGTCTCACCGGATATTATTGTAAATTTGTACAAGGTTATGGGAAGATAGCCAAGTCATTGACTGACTTATTAAAGAAAGATAGTTTCATTTGGAATGGACAAGCTCAGTTAGCCTTTGACGCACTCAAGACAGCCATGACTACTCTTCCAGTACTTGCCTTGCCTGATTTCACCAAAACTTTTATGGTGGTAACAGATGCTTCGGGACGCGGGATAGGAGCTGCACTAATGCAAGAGGGCCGCCCAATCAGCTTCATTAGCCAAGGTTTTTCTAAACGGGCTCAAGAGAAGTCAATATATGAGAAGGAACTTATGGCTATTGTCTTTGCCGTTCAAAAGTAGAGACCGTACTTATTGGGGCGAAAGTTTATCATTAAAACAGATCAGAAAAGTTTGAAATTTCTGATGGACCAACGGGTATTGGGTGAAGAACAACAAATATGGGTTACCAAGCTTTTGGGGTATGACTTTGAGATTCAATATCAACCAGGACGTGAGAATGTAGTGGCGGATGCACTTTCTCGTCAAGAACAGTTCTCAGCTCTGTCTTGTGTAGTCCCAGTAGGAGATGCTAGTTTTGATGACAAATTACAAGCGGACCCCAAACTGAGAGTCGTTATGCAGGACCTATGTGATGACTCGGGTTCACATAATGGTTTCACATTGAGTGGTGGCTGTTTATTCTTTAGAGGAAGGTTAGTTTTTCCACGCTATTCTCACTTCATTCCTCTTATATTAGAAGAATTTCATAACTCTTGTGTTGGGGGACATTCTGGGTTCCTCCGCACCTATAAGAGAATTGCTGCACTTGTCTACTGAGAGGGAATGCGCAACCAAATTAAAGAGTTCGTGGCTGCCTGCCCTATATGTCAGTAGAATAAGAGTCAGAATCTCTCTCCAGCAGGCCTTTTACAACCTTTACCAATACCAACTCAGGTTTGGGTGATTGATTTTGTGGGAGGGTTGCCCAAGGCTCAAGGATGGGGATACGATCTTTGTGGTGGTGGATCGCTTGTCGAAATTTGCTCATTTCATTCCTCTTTCACATCCAGATACAGCAAGGGAGGTAGTGTTAATATTCATCAAGGAAGTGGTGTGCCTTCATGGTTTCCCTTCTTCTATTGTCAGTGACCGAGACTGGCTCTTCCTCAATTCTTTTTGGACTGAACTCTTCAAGTGCACAGGCACTAAACTGAAGTTTAGCACGGCCTATCACCCTTAATCCAATGGTCAAACCGAAGTGGTCAATCGATGTTTGGAGACATATTTGCGGTGTTTTTGTGGCCCTAAGCCAAAGACATGGCCGTCTTGGTTACATTGGGCGGAATTTTGGTATAATACCTCATATAAGGATGCTACGGGAACTACACCATTTAAGGTGCTGTATGGCTGTGAGCCTCCTATCTTGCTGCGATCTTACTTTGCTATTTCACCGGTAGATGACGTTTCCAGGTTGTTACAAGATAGGGACACAATTCTTAATGAGTTGCAGCAGCATTTGCTGATGGCCCAAAACAGAATGAAGAGTCAAGCGGATCAGCATAGAAGAGACGTTGAATTTGGAGTTGATGACATGGTGTACTTAAAGTTACAACCATATAGACTTAGATCATTAGCCCATAAGATCAATGAAAAATTAAGTCCACGTTTTTATAGCCCTTTTCGAGTGCTCGAACGTGTTGGGGCTGCGGCTTATCGATTGGAATTGCCGAAGGGGAGTAGAGTTCACCCTGTCTTCCATGTCTCATTGCTTAAAAAAGCAATTGCCCCTTCTGTACTGGTGCAGCCACTACCATCAATGTTAACTGAGACTTGGGAATTACATGTGGAGCCGGAAACTGTGCTGAATTGGAGAAAAAATTCGCTGGGCAAAACAGAGGTTTTAATTAAATGGAGCAATCTACCATCCTTTGAAAACTCGTGGGAGGAAGCTGCCAAGTTCAATCAACAATTTCCAGAATTTCACCTTCAGGACAAGGTGAAAGTCATGGGGGGAAGTATTGATATGAAAGTGCTGCGTACTTTTGGTAGAAAGCATATCAGAGGAGTAAACCATACATAACAGCTGACGTGGTGCAAGGCCTTTCTGAAAGGAGTGAGAGGAGAATTCAGTTAGAAATTTGTTAGGAGGAAAGTAAATAGCATAATGACGTGGCAATGCTGAGAGAAGAATAAAAGCACAGCACTAAGGTAGGAAAAGAAAATCTGAAAAATAGGACTGGAAATGGGAGAGTCTGCACCTCTCGAAAGTGCATGAGGGAAACTTCTTTTCTTTTCTTTTTTATTCTGTTGTAATCCAGGTCGATGACCATTAATGATTCCTGCATTGTACTGATTTAGTTTTTGTCAAATATATTCAAGAAAAACTGGAAAGATTTCCTTTCTGGACCAAAAAGATTGTTGAGTTCTGTTTTGTTTCTTTAAGCTTGTGACTCTGAGTTAGATCTTATCAGCATTCCATAGCTAATAATAGAAAAACATTCATGTAATTCACCAAAAGAAAAATAAAAAAAGGCACCCAACACACACATTCATTCTTGAAAAGTCCATTATACACATGATCACATAAACTAACCTTCCCAGGCTTTATTGTGCTCACATCTTCTAGAGAGCATATAACACACTGCCACAAAGAAATAATTAGTTACAGAAGGTTTGGTTGAAAAAAAAAATAAAACAAATTTGTTCTGCTCGGTTCATCGGGGTCTGATTATTCAGGTTGTACCAAATTAAATGTACATAACTTGCTTTAAAAATACTAATTGATTGATTTTTCTTTACTCAAAATTACGTAAACAGAAAGGGTATACTAATCAGAATACCTGAACAGGGAAATCCATTTGGGGCCTCCTGCTTGACCAATTGATATTATCCCAATTCACTGATGGTGGAAACATTTTGTAGTCCTTTTGCATGAAGAAACCCTGATACATGATAATGTGAAGTTCTAGGGCATTCTGGAAAGGAAAATTTGGTATTTTAAAATTTTTCTACATGATATATCAGACCTGGCATTCTTCTGCAATGATATTGATAGCCTCCAGCCATTTAACAGACCGAGCTCCAATGACACCAGGAACAATCACACGTAATGGGTACCCATGATCCCTGTTAAGAGTCTAAAGAAAGGCAAGGAGATCTTAAACTAAGCCAAGAGCACTAAAGTGACTAAACTAATATATCTTCATAGTATATATCACCAAATGAAGCGCAAGAAAAAAAAAAAAAAACTCTCAATACGCGGAAAGTATAGTGGATAATTTTTCACAAAGGTTAAAAGTGTTCATGGTTGGATGACAAAGCTATGATCATCAGTTTCCCATCTTTAATTTTGAGTATACTATTGGATAGATCATCTTATTTAACTGTTGAAATTATAGGGTATTGGTGAAAATGGACAAAATGAGAAAAAGGAGGCATTCAATAATATTCTGAATAAAATGATATTTGATTGATATGAGATATATAATAATCCAAAGTACTAACACCCATTATGAAAATCTAGTATTGTAGTACAATTGGTACAGGCTTTGAAGTTAATATACTAGTTATTGACCTAATTATTTGAATAAATAGGTGTTAGTGCTTTGTATTATAATACATCTCATATCAATCTAATATCATATTATTCAGAATATTAATGAGAGCCTCCTTTCTCTCTTTTCCTCCTTTTTCACCTAAACCCTATACTTTTAACACAGTATCAAAGCTTAGTAACAAGTTTAGTGAGGGTTAGAATATAAAAATCATTATTACATTAGGAGTCTTGTTAGGTTAGTGAAGTAGTCTTATTGTGTTGGGCTCATAGTAGCAGTCCTACACTAATTTCTTGACCTAAATATTAGTTTGTATTATAATACATCTCATTCTAATATCATATTGTTCATTATACTATTGAGGGGCTCCATTCTCTCTTTTCTTCAAGTTTCTAATTCAAAATCCAGTTACCTGAACTTTCCGGTATTCAAGCTCTTTTGGAAGGTAATGGCTCTAGTATAGTGAAGAGTTTTTGTCTGGTTTGTGATGCTTAATAGTATTAATAAAATATCTGTTGGAGACTAATAGGCTATTTTTCCTGATATTTATGTGTTTCCAGAGTTCAAAGAAGCCATCTTTTTAGGGCGCTTAGCAGATTTGGGATTACCTTTTTATCATTTTTGACAACCAATGGTTTTGTCCAGCATCCTTGGATAAACTTAGGTCTACTCATTTTAGGACCCTAAATTTTAAATAACAAGTGTCTTCACTCTCATCTTTTGTGGGAAAGAGTTGTCTTCTTGGCATACATGCGGACATCTGCGCATAGTTTATTTCAAGGGCTGTTCTCTTATGGATTTACAAAGGGATAGGACATGGAAAGTGATACAGCCCTGGACTGGAATAGCTCAACTCTCAATGAAAGAAAGGAAAACAGAGGATTTGGGGACAGATCCCCAAAGATTTTATTAATTATGACGAAAACAGAAGCAAGAGGATCAACCTCTTTCAAGGAGCATTCTCCTTCTTGAGACTAATCTCCCTCTTCTCTACACTAAAAGCTGCCAACTGAAAGGTGAACCCTCTTATTTAATTACCTAAAGATAACAAATTAATGAGAAATTAGCTAACTAGCAAAAGGATAACCTAAGCTATTCAATTCTGGATAAACATTCGTAATAGAAAGATAAACATAAAACATAAGCTACTATAAATAACAACATTCTATCTTCCTCAACTAATTCCCTGTTTCTTGTCCTTTTTGTTGTAGACTATGAGGTTGAGGGCCCACTAAATCTTTGGCTGTGTCAATACCTCCAGGGGGAATAACAGCCTTGTTCCCGAGTTGAAGTCAGGAAATTGGTGCTGTATGGTCAGAATATCTTCCCAAGAGGCATCTTTTGGGGGGTGATTGGACCATGGAATGAGGACTTGTTTGGAGAGATGTCCTTGGTGTAGCACAGTTTTGGTAACAAGGACTTAAAAAGGAGAAAATAGTGGAGTTGTTTCGTGGTGATCCTCCAGTAGTTTGTCTTCCAAGGGATGGTTTCCAATAGCCTTTTTGAGTTGGGATTCGTGAAAGACAAGAATTATCCGAGAGGAGGGTGGGAGCTCAAGTTGGAAAGCCACTGTTTCAATTTGCTTAGTAACTAAGAAGGGGCCATAGTACCTTGCGGCCAACTTAGGATGGAGATGACCTTGAGTGGATGCTTGCTGATGAGGTCTAATTTAAGATAAACCAAGTCTACTATCTGAATCATGGAGGGGGACCTGCATAAATTAGCCTTGCAGTTCATGTGATTTTGAGCCCGAGTTAGGTGAAATTTGAGTTGGTGTAGAGCCTTGTCCCAATCCATTAGATTTCTTGCTGCTGCCTCTATAGCAATCTCCCCTGGAATGAATCTCAGAATTGAAGGAGGTGGCCTGCCATAAAGTATTTTGAATGGAGTGCATTGGGCTAATTTGTGAAAGCTGGTATTATACCAATATTTAGCCCAGGCGAGGAAATCCCTCCAAGTTTAAATTGCAGGTAAGTCTCTAAAATTCTATTCATCATCTCTGTTTGCCCATCGGTTTGGGGGTGGTAAGCAGTGCTAAACTTGAGTGAGGTCCCCTGCAACCGAAGTAGTTCTTTCCAAAATACGCTTATGAAGGTAGGGTCTCTGTCACTAACAATGGAAGTTAGTACTCCATGCAACTAGACTATTTCTTTGACGAAGGCTTCATTAGCTGAATAGGGGTCTTTCATTAAAATGAAGTGAGCATATTTACTAAGCCTATCCACTACTACAAAGATGGTGTTGAAACCCCTTGATTTTGGCAGGCCTGTGATGAAATCCATGCTAATGTCTTCCCATACAGCTTGGGGACTCGTAAGTGGCTGTAGCAACCCCGCGGGACTAGAAGCTTGGTACTTACAACTTTGACATAGCGAACTTTAAGCAACATATTTTGTTATGGTATCTTTTATTCTAGACTAGAACAATGATTGAGCAATGCGCCTATAGATTCTAAACACTCCAACATGGCCTCTAGTGGGAGTGGTGTGAAATTCTTGGAGAAGTTTAGGAATCCAAATGGATTGAGCTGAAAGCACCAAACGGCCTTTGTAGTGTAACTTGCCATTTTCTTGGGTGTAAAAAGTAGGGGTATTAGGATCATTTTGAAGGTCATCAATTATCTTGGCCAAGGTCTCATCCTTTTTAACCTCCTTGTCCAGCAACAGCATGTTTGACCAAATGGGTTTAGAAATGGTGTGAAGATCCTTGTCCTCCTCTCTCCTTGATAAGGCATCTGCCACCATGATGCTGGCCCCCACTTTGTATACAATGTCAAATTCATATCCCATTAATTTGGTGAGCCAATTTTGTTGGTTTTGAGTTGTGATTCTTGGTTCCATCAAAAAATTTAGAATTTTTTGGTTTGTATACACAGTACCTAGGTAGCACGGACACACAAATATTTTGAAAATTTGCATGTCGGACACGTGTCCGACACGGACACGTTCCGACACGCTCGAACACGCGTCCGACACGCGGTCAACTCTCCGACACGTTCCGACACGTTTTTCCGACACGCAGTCAACTTTTTCCGACACGCGATCAACGCTTGGACACGCTCGGACACGTTTTTATTTTTTTTTTAAATCTTAATTTTATTTTGTTAACTAAATATAAAAGAAATAATTTATAAATTGATTTTTTTCTATTATGAAATTTGACATGAAAAATTAACAAAGTATGAAAAATTATTTATATTTATATTTATGTTATGAAATTTAAATATTTGATTGGTTATATGACTTATTATGGACTCTTATATGTATTAAATATAAATTATATTATATATATTAAAATTTTTATTTAATATCAAAACATGTCCCAACGTGTCCAAATATGACATTTTTTAGAATTAACGTGTCGGCGTGTCGTGTCGTGTCCCGTGTTCGTGTCCGTGCATCATAGCACAATACATTTCCTCCCCAACAGGTATGGCATCCAATGTTGAATAGCTAAGACAGGGGCCATTAGTTCTTTCTCATAAACTGACTTATTTAGGGATGATGGACCCAATGCCTTGCTTAAAAAGGCTATTAGGTGTTTCTCTAGGGAAAATACATCTCCAATTCCCTTTCTTGATGCATCACATTCAATAACAAAAGCCTTAGAGAAATCTGGTAATGAGAGGACAAGGTTGTTGTCATAGTAGTTTTGAGGGCTTCAAAGGATTGATTAGGTTCTAAAGTCTAAGAAAAATTACCCATCTTAAGGAGGTTAGTCAAGGGTTTAGCAATCTTCTCGTAGTTCCTTTTAAAATGTCTATAATAACTGATTAAGCCCAAAAAACCTCTCAAACTTTTGATAGACTTGGGTTTAGGCCACTATAACATGCACTCCACCTTCTTAGGATCCATGGATACTCCACTCTTAGTTATGATGTGCCCTAGATAGTCAATAAAGGTCTATCCAAAACAACATTTTTTGATGTTATAATAAAACTGGTATTGTTCAAGGATAGATAAAACCTTTGTAAGGTGATATAAGTGATCTGTCAAGGATAGATAAAACCTTTGACCCCTGATTTTGCATGTGATAGTTCGTCATCTGCCTTCTTGCCCATGCATGCCTTCAATAAGATAGTTAATTCCTCAATTCCATCTTTATTAGCGTTGGTCTCCCTTCTAAGCAACCCAATGGATTTTTCCAGAGCTTCAACCCATGCATCAATGGACGTCATTCCGATTTTATTCGGCAGGTCACACCAAATTGAGACAGCCCGGGATTGGAATAGCTCAACTCTCAATGAAAGATAGGAAAACAGAGGATTTAGCGGAAAGATTCCCGAAGATTTTATGAACCAAAATTAGAAACAAGAGGATCAACCTCTTACAAGGAGCATTCTCCTTCTTTGGACTAATCTCCCTCTTGTCTACTCTAAAAGTTGCCTACTGAGAGGTGAACCCTCTTCTTTAATTACATAAAAATAACAACTTAACAAGAAATTAGACAACTACCAAAAGGATAAACCTACCTAACAGAAAGATAACCGTACGCTATTCAGTTCTGGATAAATATTTGTAACAGAAAGATAAACATAATATAAGCTACTCTGAGTAACAACATTCTATCTTCCTCAACTAACTCCCTGTTTCTTCTCCTTTCTGATGTAGACTTTGAGAGGTTGAAGGCCCACTAAATCTTTGGCCGTATCAGAAAGCAATTTTGAGCTTATGCTTTTATTTCACCTCTCTCTCTCTCTCTCTCTCTCTCTCTCTCTCTCTCTCTCTCTCTCTCTTTTCCTCCGTTATTGCACCATTCTAGTTTCTCTTGGTAAAATTTTCTAAACATAGTTTTTTTATAAAAAATTGATCCAACAGAAAATGCCTTCAAACATTTTGAATATAATACTGAATTCTAAAACCACTTCTAAGGATGCTAATTTGGAAGTTATAGCTGCTTGCTTACTGAAAGAAAGAAAAAAAGTATCGATTATATTATCTAGTAGGCTTATTACTTCAGTCATAAAACTTCGGAAGCAAACTTTCTGATATATCATTTCATAGATATATTGTGTAAGAGGATTGAGGGTACATCACGAAAAATTAAGTTCCAACAAAGGGGAAAAGTGTTTACAGTGACCATAAAAAGAACAAAAACAAAAAGAAGGGAGCCACTCACGTAATAAACATGCACTATATATGTTCTATATCTTTTTTCCCAATTAAATAATGATATCTGCAGCTCCTATGGTGAATAATATGAGACAATAGCAGCGTGGCATGAATGGTAGAGTATAATTTTTAATATTGGTCTCTTTTAGAAAGTAATGAAAATCAAGGTAAAAGAACCTCGAAAATTTAAGAGCTGCAAGAAGATAGTAAACAATAAGAAGTCAAATTCACTTACTTCTCCATTCATTTCATAACAAAGTAGAACATCTGCTTCAGGATTAGTGGCCTGGCTGAGTGGTATCGATGCCTTGTATGGGCCTCCATTTTCCTCCTATAATATTTTAATATTAAAAGGAATCAACAGAATACTTTTGACAAATGCTATAAATAATCAGAAAGAATCCAAGATCTCCGGAGTAAACATACAAGCCATAGTCATTACCTTACACTTATCAACGCTTACAAACTCAACATGTTTTCCACCAAATTGAGTAGCACTTGTCAACTTTGGAATTCCAACAAGTTCAAGAACATCAGTCAATTTGGCACCACCCCAAACAGCTGAGAGTAAAAAAAACATAATGGATCAATGATTAGAATCTACTACCTATTACATTAATAATCTCAGTTACTAGCTAAGCACTCAATGGGCACTCAAGTTCCTTTGGGGACTACTTGATTCTGAGATAAAATCCTAACTAGGTCTTTGCTTGCACTTTGGACTAACCTCCCCCTTTTCATACAAGGTCTTAGATTTCCTCTGTAACCCCCACCTCCCAAACCAAAAAAAATAAAAAATAAAATTCAACACAGACTTGAGGTGAAACACAAATAGCTGAAGCTCTATTGAAAATCCTTGAGCACTATCAATTTTCATTTCATTATCCCAAAAAAAATTGACACAATACTAACCATTTCCAATTGCAGAAACACCCCAGCCAACTCCCTTCACTGTTTTGGTCTTGCTCATAGCAGTCCTTCGATTACCTGCACACTGATACAATCCATTTGCACAATAGGTACCATACCATCATCAACTTACAAACCAAAAAAACCCCCAGTTCTACCTCAATCCAAGTTTATCAAAAGAACACATACCTGCAATGTGGCAGTGACATTATACTTAGGCAGCATCCTATCACCAAACAACTAAGGTCAGTTCCTTGTACAACAAGAAAAATACTAAACAACAGCCAGAATTCTTTTGTCAGAACAAGTTGGCATTAAAAAAGGGCTAATCCTAAAGACAAAAGGACTAACCTGATATCTTTCATGAAAAGCTGTTTTGGATTTTCCACCAAACCAGAAATTAATACGCAATATCTGCTCCTCAAACCAAACACGTCACAACAAAACAAATTAAACTCTTTTTTATTTATTTATTTTAAATTTGGTTATTTTACAGTGAAAAAATGAAGAGAAAGAATGAAGAACCTGTCTATGTCCTCAACGATGGGTATTGGGCCATGATTCCTCTTGTAAAAGAAATCCGGAGGAGTAACATACGACGCAATCAAAGCAGAACGAGGTGGCTCCGCATTAAAGGGTTCCTGAGAAAAAAAAAAAAAAAAAACAGAGATTTTAATTTCAGAAAATTTGTTAAGGTTGTTAGTTTGTTTGTTTTTAAGGTTTAAGGGTTAGTTTGTTTTGCCTTGGCGTTAATTTGAAGAGAAGGGTGACGAGGAGGCTCTTTGGAATAATCTGAAGGTGCTGTGAGTCCTGCCATTTTTTATTCTCTGGTTCTTCAAGGAAAAGGGTTCTTTTTGAATTTTGATGATGAAAACTCAAAAAAGAAAAAGAAAAAAAAGAGGAGCTATGAAGGAAGGAGAATGAAAGCAGTGCAATTTGAAGATGATACGGACGTTTCTCAATCCTTCATTAATTTTGAGAGTACAGTAAAAAGCATAGAAGTAGTAGTTGTTGAGAATAAGAGAAATTTTTGTGTTTTTGTTAGTGGGTTTCATGTGACATTATAAAAAACAATAAAAAATAAAATTTGTTGTTATTCTCTGTGTATTTTTTTTTTCTTTTTGAATATAATGGAAATAAACTCTGTGTATTATTTTATGGGTTTTATTAGTGTTATGTAACATAATACAAGTGTTGTTTCCAACTCTCACATCAAAAGGGAGAGAAAAAGTGGAATGATGAAAGAGAAAAAAAATATGTGGATCCCACCTTTTTAATGTGTGTAGAAAAGTGAAGTTATATTATGTTAAATAATAAACATAAAACTCTTATTTTATACATGATAAAATGATGATAAATGACGAAAGATTATCCGTATTTTTCTATTTGGTACTACGCTTACGAAAGCATCAATGTTTATATTATACTTTGAAAATGGATCCATATTAAATAAAAGGGAAAAGTTTAAAAAAACTATCGTCTGGTATTCTTTTGGATCACTTACATTTCTATGTTTTTTTTTAGGAAAAAAATGTGTGTCATTTTAAGGAATATAAAGTTATATCATTTTAAGTAAGAGAAAGAAATAGATAAAGGGAGAAAGAGTGAATAAAAAAAATAAAATAATAATGAGTCTCACTTCTTTGTAAGAGTGAAATGACATAAGCTGTGTCATTTGAAAGGACAAATATTTTTTCCTTTCTTTAATCACTTAATCTCTTGTGGGTTTTTTCATTCACACCTTTCTTGACACTATTAAAAAAGTTAACTAAGTATATCTATTCTACCTTTTTGAGAAGAAGAAAATAAAGTGACAAAAAAAAAAAAATCAAATGTTATGAAAAATTAGAACTCTTAATAAAAGACAAAGAAAAATTGTAAAAAAGATCAAATATGTCTAAATAAAAAAAATTGTATACAAAAGAAAAAATAAAAGAAAAAAAGAGTAAAAAAATAAATCGAAGTTATGAATTTTCAATATATTTGCTTTTATTTTTCTATTTTTTTCTTGGTCTATTTATTCTTTTTATTTAAATATGATTGGTCTTTTTTATAACTCTATTTTATTATCTTTTCATTTTAATTATTTTTTACGAAAATCTTTAGTAGATGGGATGACACAAGACTAAAAAAATTGAGAAAAAATAGAATAAAAAATGAAAAAAATATAAAAAGACCAAACATATCTAAATAAAAAAGAATAAAATAATTATTTACCAAAAAAATGAATAAAATAGACCAAGGACAAAAAAAAAATAAAACTAAATAATTGGAAACTCGCGATTTCTTTTTATTCTATTTTTTATCTTAATTTTTTCTTCTAGATTTTTGTCTTCGGTATTTTTTTTTCATTTGGACTATTTTTTTTTTTAAAATTTTAGTCTTTTCTGTCACTGTTGTGATTTTAATATATTTGATCTTATTTTTTTCTATATTTTTTTTGGATAAATTACAGGTATCCTTCACTGGAGGCAGTTCTATTCAGATATTCTAAGAAGGTAGAATAATTCTATTTAATTAATTTTCTAAGAGTGTTAAGGAGGAGTGTGAAGAAAGAAAACCACAAGGGGATTAAAAAATAGTCCTAACGGATCCTTGATTTAAACAATACCACAAGATTTTTTGTTGAACTATTCCCTAAATAAAACATGATATGGTTATATAAAAAAATCACCAAAACTAAATCAACGGTGAAGTTTAAAAAAATTGCTACCTCTATCACATAAAATAATATAACTCCATGATTTAGTGATCTTTCTGCAAAAAATAATGAGTTGCATTTTGGGAGTCATTATTCTTAAAAAAGGTGAAGAGACTCAAATTTAAACTGGTATTGTTGGATCCGTTAGGACTTACACATTAATTGATATAAAAAAATTAATGTTATTTTCATAATCCCAAGTCCCAACACAACGTTAATTTTAAAATATACAAAAAAATATATACTTTTTTTTGAAAATTTTATTTCTTTTTAGAAATATGTTTTTTAAAATACCTGATATTGTTTTTACTCAAATTTCAAAATAATATCATTTTGAGTTATATAAATTAATTTATCACCTAAAATAGAAATTTATATTATTTCTAGAGTTTTTTTACCTTATTTATATTATTCCTATTTTTTGGTAAGCATATTTATATTATTCAACCAATAAAATAGAGGATAGATTTTTTTTTACCATATTTACATTATTTAACTAATAAAATAGAGTATAGATTTTTTTATGACATGACATATTGTAACTTACTTTTTAAAATCAGAGTGACTAATTTGACATATAAAAGCTATAACATCCCTTTTTACAAACGTAAATAAGGAATATTACATGATTTCTTTTATATATGTGTTTTTACTTTATACATCGTCAAAGAGTAATAAGATGGAAAGAAGTTAATGGTATTTAATTAAATACACTTTTATGATAAAGAAAATTATATAAACATCCACCGACATTACTTTATAGATATTGTTACGTCAGATACAAAAAAGAGTTATTTTACATAGGTCTTATAGTTTACTAAATATTACATCACTTCAGTTTAAATCTTACATACTAGCATTACATAATTATACATTACAAAAGTCTTATCCTAATCTAGCCTATAGGTGTAGGTCTCCACACTATCAGCCAGTGGCGGACCTAGGAATTTTTCCTGTGAGGGGCTAAAAATTAAATATTTGTTTTTCTCTTCAAACATAATATATGAGAGGTCAAAATACGAAAAATTAAATATTTATTTCTCTTTTCAACCACAATATGTGGGAGGCCGAAACACCAATCCAGAGAACATAACTCATAAATACCTCTTTTAACTTGTTATAGAGAGAAAGAAGGAGAGAGAGAGGTGGAAGATGTCACAGTAAAATCTACTATCAATTTGAAAAAACTACCCATTTTCAACCCCTAAAATGAACATTTTTTATGCAAAGAAAACAAAGAAAAAGAGAAGAGAGCAAAGGTTTAGATTTCACAAAAAATATGTATTAATTACTATAATCTAAATAGATAATTCAAAGCAGGCCCCTCTCATTTCTTAACCTCTTTTTCTATTTACTCACTGTTAGCCCGAGAAGAAAAAAAAGCCAAAGATAAATTAGAAGAGACAGATTGCTAAGAAGCACAATCACCAAAACCCTTCTGCCCCTCACTTCCCTCTCTATCATGAATCATCAGAAAAGGAGAGGGATCGAAAGAATAAGGTTCATTCTTTCGTAAGACTCTCAGACTTCTTATTTTTATTCATGGATGGGAAGATTTGTGCTAACATCTAAGCATAATAAAAGTTGAAACTGTAAGTTTCAAGTCGAGGTTTAAACTATAATTTAAGGGGAAGGTTATATTTACAAATTTTTTTTTTAGAAACTCTTACAAACTATACTGTGTCTGACCGTCATACTATAATCAAGAGTGTATGACTGGTCATACTTAATGTAATTTGTTAAAAACTGCAATCAGAGTTAGAGGGATTTCAATAGATATAGGACCTGAGAATATAAAGAAGCTCTATAAACTCTCTGCGGTGGGAGAAAACTACTTCACATTAATGGAGAGAAAAATGGAGGTTTCTTGCATTATACTTATGTTAAAAAATTTCTTCTATGTACCAAAAAAAAAAAAATTCTTCAAATTTTGAGGGGGGCGGCCGCCTACCCTAGCACCCCCTCGGTCCGCCCCTGCTATCAGTATAGAATATCGAAGCAGCTCCTTGATTTCCTACTACAATATAAAACTCTATGCGGTCCTCATAAGAGTAAATATTGATACTCCATCCTTCACCTGCTAGGCTTAGAGTAGGCATTATGATTTTCTGGAAAGGTTAGCACAAAACAAACATACGTGAGATAAATCTCAGTAATATTGAGGTTTTCTAACTATAACCATTTCCAGCCGTAATAACGGAAAATACCATTCTTTCAGATAATTTAATAAAATGAAATAATATAATAAATAATACACTGTGTAATATTTAACTGAAGTTAAATAATTTCTCAACTTTGTGGTCTTCTGCATATGAAAGATTTATTATGGAGGAGCTCAAACCACGATAAGGCGTCCCTTACCCTCAAATCGTCTGAACCCAAACTCTGTGGTTCAGTTCATAGCAGTCTTCATCAGTTAAATTTACATATTCTCTTTGTAATTATTTGGTACCAAATAATGACCAAACTTAGCAATCAGAAACCAAATTTAAAAGAAAATGCAGGAACCGTAGAAGAATGAAATCAAAAACTAAACTACTGTAACAAATAAATTCAAGAATGTTAAAGAAATGAAATTTTAAAGAAAATCAGTATACTTGCAAAAGAATAACATCAAAGAATACACTCAACCAGACGAACATATAAAGAAAAAAGTTTGGTAAGATGACAGAGGTATTAAAGTTAAACATCGTTTTCCCAAAATGATTGAAAACAAATACGAGAGAATGTTTTTAACCCTCCTAATATTACCTTGTCTCGTCGCTTTCCTTCTTCTTCTTTTTTTCTCTTTCTCTTTCTCTCTCTCTCTCTCTCTTTCACTGGTCTTTCTTTCTCTCTTTCTTTTTCTTTCTTCTCGCTGCTATCCCTTTCTTAATATGAACAGCAATATATATATATATATATATATATATATATATATATATATATATATAGGGGCAGGATATTCTTACACTGGTGTAAGAGTTAGAAGTCTTACACTCAATCTTGACCATTGATCCACTTGTATCCAATGGCTCACATTACTAAAAAATTTGAGCCCTTAGATATAAATGGGATCAGTGGACAAGATTAAGAGTGTAACTTACACTGGTGTAAAATGATCCTAACCCATATATATAAAGAGAGTCGCTTACGGTTAAGTTAGATTTCGTTAGATTCGAACGATTTAGTAACTAAGTAATCATTACTATTCAGATAACTAACCACGTAGGTCGTCAACGTGTAAGTTTCTAGAAAATATTCGTAAGCGGTCATCAGATGCTCTTACGTTATATGTTTACGTCTTATTTATTTTTTGTAGTTTATTTAAACGTATTTTTACTTTTTAATCAATTATTATTATTATTGTTAGTATTATTTGTTTTATTATTAATTTAATATATATTATATATATTTATCTTAATATTTAATTACTTATTTCTGTTTATTATTATTATTATCATCATCATTATTATTATTTTACATATACGTAAACATATATTTTTATGTTTACGCGCTTCGCGTAAAATTGACGCAAACGGCGTCTGATACATATCCTCGTCTAATACATTCTGACGCCCTTCACGTAAGAATTGGCGTGATTGGCGCCAAATTTGGCACTTCTTGGACGCTAAAGGCGCCATTTTGGCGCTACTGGCATCGAACCCTTTTTTTTTTCTGGATCTTGGCGCCAACTTTGGCGCTGATGGTGTCACTTTTATTATTATTATTATTTTTTTATTTATTTTTTAAATTTTTGAATATTACATTTCTCCCCTTCTAATTGAAATTTTGTCCTCAAAATTTTGACATACCTGTTAAGAAAAATTCTGGATACTTTTGTCGTAATTCTTCTTCTTTTTCCCACGTTGCTTCCTGTGGTGAAAGTCCTTCCCACAATACTTTGATTAATGGAATTTCTTTATTTCTCAGTTGCTTCATATTTCTATCAAGAATTCGGATTGGTCTGGTCTTAATAGTCAGATTCTCTTTAACTTGTACTAACTCTAAATTAAAATATGAGAGGGATCTGAGACATATTTTCTAAGCTGAGAAACATGAAAAACATTACGGAGATTAAAAAGATGAGGTGGAAGAGCAAGTTGGTAAGCAACTGGCCCTATTTTTCGGAGTATTTGAAATGGACCAATATACCTAGGGCTTAATTTCCTAACTTTGAGGGTTTTGCCTACGCCTGTGGTAGGAGAAAGTTTAAGAAAGACATGTTCTCCTTCCTCAAAAGACAAAGGTTTACGCCTGTTATCAGCATAACTTTTCTGTCTACTTTGAGCTTTTTCAAGGTTTTCCTTTATCATCTGAATTTGTCTCGAGGTTTCTTGGACTAATTCTGGTCCCAACAACTATTTTTCTCCTTTTTCATACCAACACACAGGAGATCTACACTTTCTTCCATAGAGTGCCTCGTAGAGAGCCATTCCAATACTGGAGTGGTAACTATTGTTATAGGCGAACTCTATTAGTGGCATATATTTATCCCAACTACCTCCTTGCTCCAAAATACAGGCTCTCAACATATCCTCTAAAGTTTGAATGGTTCTTTCAGTTTGACCATCAGTTTGAGGATGATATGCGGTACTAAGTCTTAACTTAGTCCCGAAGGCTTGCTGCAAGGATCCCCAAAATCTAGAAGTAAATCTAAGATCTCTATCTGACACAATACTTAAAGGTATACCATGAAGTTTGACGATTTATTTTATATACAGCTGAGCTAATCTCTCAATAGAATATTGAGCCTTAATTGGTAGAAAATGAGCAGATTTGGTTAACCGATCAATGATTACCCAAATTGCATCAAACTCTTCCTGAGTTCTTGGTAAACCCATCACAGAATCAGTTGCTACACTTTCCCACTTCCATTCCGGTATGTCTAATAATTGAAATAATCCTGAAGGTTTTTGATGTTCAATTTTTATCTTTTGACAAACCAAACATTTTGAAACGTATTCAGCAATATCCTTTTTCATTCCTGGCCACCAAAATATCTTTTTCAAATCTTGATACATTTTAGTGGAACCAGGGTGAACTGTGAATTTACTACTATGTGCTTCATTCAAAATTTCTTTCATCAATTCTTCCTTCCTAGGTATAACAATCCTTCCTTGAAACTTTACTAAACCATCATCTTCTTTGGTAAATCCTTCCTTTTTCAATATTTTTTCTAAACTAAGATCCTCCTGCTGAGTTTCTTTAACTTCATTTACTAACTCATTTTCAATCCTTATTTCACTAATACCTAAACTTCGAGGCAATACAGTTACAGATAATCTCATGTCTCGAAATTTTTCTAATAATTCCATTTCTTTGACCATTAAATATGACATATGAAGAAATTTTCTACTTAAGGCATCAGGTTTAACCTTTGCTTTTGAAAGATTAAAGAGAACATATCCTTGTGCTCCATCTAACAAACTCTTCCTAAGTTGGGAAGTTGACAAAAATAAAGATTCATTGGGAAGTTTTGACTCTTTTGTGAAAATTATATTTTTATTTTGACAATCAATGACTACACAATTAGCAGACAACCAATTCATACCAAGGACTACATCAATGTCAATCATAGGCAAACAAACTAAATCTATTCTAAATTCTTTCTCTTTGACTTGAAGAGGACAATTTTTACAAACTTGAGATGTGATTATCTTTTCTCCAATAGAAAGAAAGATTTCAAGATAAGAAGGTAAAATGGAAATTGGCAATTTTAACTTTTGAGCAGAAGATGAATATATGAAAGAATGAGATGCCCTAGAATCAAAAAGTACAGTTATAAGAGAATCTTGTATTAAGCCCGTACCTTGAACCAAGTTTGAAGCTTGAGCTGCTTTCTGACCATCTAGGGTGAAAACTCTTCCTCTTGTTGTAGGTTGGTTTGCTGAATTCTGCCCTTGATTCTGAGGACAATTCCTCAACATATGTCCAGGCTTTCCACATTTAAAGCATACACCTCTTCCTGCTAAACATTCTCCAGCATGATTTTTCTTGCATTTTGGACATACATGAATCTGGGAATTTGTCCGACCCGCATTCGTCTTCCCTCCCTTGCTAGCAAAGTTGTTTCCTGAGTTTTGCACCCGTGAAAACCTCCCTCTATTATTGTCATCACTTCTTCTTAGATTTAAGGCTCTGTCTCTTACATCCTTAGCCTCCTTCATACTTGCTTCAATGTCTCTGCACCTGTTTATTAATGATGAAAAATTTCTGATTTGGTGCCCTATTATCATACTTTTTAGTTCAGGTTTTAGTCCAGATTCAAATTTAGTTGTCAGCCATTCCTCATTAGGTTGATTTTGTGTATAATTAGAATATCTAGATAATTCCTCAAATTTTGCCACATATTCTCCAACAGTCATGTTTCCTTATTTCAGTTCAAGGAATTCTATTTCTTTTCTGTTTCTTACACTTTGAGGAAAATATTTTTCTAAAAAGGCATCTTTAAAGATTGTCCAAGTAATCTCTGTTCCTTGGCTTTGGAAATATCTTTTGGTATTTGTCCACCAATGTTCTGCTTCTCCAATCAACAGGTATGTGGCAAAGTTCACACGATGAGTATTAGGACAGTCCATTACCAGGAATATTTTCTCAAGTTCTTTTATCCATTCCATTGCTGCTTCAGGGTTATAGTCTCCACGAAAAGTGGATGGTTTATGCTTACGAAATTCAGTAAGTCCTTTGTAATCAGAATTAGGTCCTCCCAGAGCATTGACATTTCTAGGTCCACTTTCACTTTCGTTATTATGGGTATGATTTCTGTTTGAACGATCCTCCCTCAGCTTCTGAATAATTTGCTGATTAGTTACAGTCTGTTCTCTAAGAGCTTCTGCCACCCGGTAAATGCATCCGTTACTGGGTTAATTTCTGGTTCAGAAGTTGAAGAAGACATCTGCCTTGCACCTACCATAGATCTACATATATTGTTTTATGATAGTGAGTTGATCAGGCTCAGTAAAATAATTCAAAATATGCATAATCTGTGACAAAATATCGAACAAATATAATAGTTTAGGTACTTTATTTACTTGAACTGCTGCTCTGATACCATAAAATGTAACATCCCTTGTTACAAACGTGAATAAGGAATATTACATGATTTCTTTTATATATGTGTTTTTACTTTATAGATCGTCTGAGAGTAATAAGATGGAAATAAGTTAATGGTATTTAATTAAATACATTTTTATGATAAAGAAAATTATATAAACATCCACCGACATTACTTTATAGATATTGTTACGTCAGATACAAAAAGGAGTTATTTTACATAGTTCCTATAGTCTACTAAATATTACACCACTTCAGTTTAAATCTTACATACTGGCATTACATAATTATATAATACAAAAGTCTTATCCTAATCTAGCCTATAGGTGTAGGTCTCCACACTATCAGCATAGAATATCGAAGCAGCTCCTTGATTTCCTACTACAATATAAAACTCCATGCGGTCCTCATAAGAGTAAATATTGATACTCCATCCTTCACCTGCTAGGCTTAGAGTAGGCATTATGATTTTCTAGAAATGTTAGCACAAAACAAACATACGTGAGATAAATCTCAGTAATATTGAGATTTTCTAACTATAACCATTACTAGCCGTAATAACGAAAAATACCATTCTTTCAGATAATTTAATAAAATGAAATAATATAATAAATAATACACTGTGTAATATTTAACTGAAGTTAAATAATTTCCTAACTTTGTGGTCTTCTGCATATGAAAGATTTATTGTGAAGGAGCTCAAACCACGATAAGACGTCCCTTACCCTCAAATCGTCTGAACCCAAACTCTGTGGTTCAGTTCATAGCAGTCTTCATCAGTTAAATTTACATATTCTCTTTGTAATTATTTGGTACCAAATAACGACCCAACTTAGCAATCAAAAACCAAATTTAAAAGAAAATGAAGGAACCGTAGAAGAATGAAATCAAAAACTAAACTACTGTAACAAATAAATTCAAGAATGTTAAAGAAATGAAATTTTAAAGAAAATCAGTATACTTGCAAAAGAATAACATCAAAGAATACACTCAACCAGAAGAATATATAAAGAAAAGAGTTTGATAAGATGACAGAGGTATTAAAGTTAAATATCGTTTTCCCAAAATGATTGAAAACAAATACGAGAGAATGTTTTTAACCCTCCCAATATTACCTTGTCTCTTCGCTTTCCTTCTTTTTTTTTCTCTTTCTCTCTCTCTCTCTCTCTCTCTCTCTCTCTCTTTCACTGGTCTTTCTCTCTCTCTTTCTTTTTCTTTCTTCTCGCTGTTATCCCTTTCTTAATATGAACAACAATATATATATATATATATATATATATATAAAGAGAGTCGCTTACGGTTAAGTTAGATTTCGTTAGATTCGAACGATTTAGTAACTAAGTAATCATTACTATTCAGATAACTAACTACGTAGGTCATCAACGTGTAAGTTTCTAGAAAATATTCGTAAGCGGTCATCAGATGGTCTTACGTTATATGTTTACGTCTTATTTATTTTCTGTAGTTTATTTAAACGTATTTTTACTTTTTAATCAATTATTATTATTATTGTTAGTATTATTTGTTTTATTATTAATTTAATATATATTATATATATTTATCTTAATATTTAATTACTTATTTCTGTTTATTATTATTATTATCATCATTATTATTATTTTACATATACGTAAACATATATTTTTACGTTTACGCGCTTCACGTAAAATTGACGCGAAAGGCGTCTGATACGTATCCTCGTCTAATACATACCGACGCCCTTCGCGTAAGAATTGGGCCGATTGGCGCCATTTTGGAACTTCTTGGACGCTAAAGGCGCCATTTTGGCACTACTGGCGGCGGACCTTTTTTTTTTCCTGGATCTTGGCGCCAAAGGCGCCAACTTTGGCGCTGATGGAGTCAATTTTTTTATTTTTTATTTTTATTTTTATTATTTTTTAAATTTTTGAATATTACAAAAGCAATTTTTCAAAAAATATATTAAAATAACTAAAAAAATAAAAGATTTTTGAAAATAATTTAAATCGCATATGGAGTAGGTACATACTATAAAGCATGGACACGTTATTTTTTTAAAAATATACGTGTTGGACACGGACACGCTCCGACACGTTCCGACACGCGGTCAATATTTTAGGACACGTTGACTATCTCGACACGCGATTTTGACCGTGTCCGACACGGTCAAAGGGCAGAAATGAAAAAAAAACAAAAAAAAAATCGTGTATTCATCGGAACCCTACCGGAGATTTTGGGGTTTAGAGAGAAATGAAATGGAATGAGCAATATTATAATGTAAGAGTTAAACGAACATGGTGGATGAACCACTTGAATCCGTGAAGCCACTGTAGAAGATGAAGTCAGTGTAGAAGATGAAGCTGGAGATAGAATTAGGAGCTAAGATACCCACCCATGCGTTCCAAGAAATAAATGTAAGTTAAGGAAGTTCACTGGAAGAGTTAAGGAAGTCAGTGTAGCGAAGATGAAGTTGGGAGAAATAAAAAATATCTAACCAGTCCCACACATTCCAAGAAAATTAACGCAGAGAAATTATGGCTCTGCCCACACATGCGTTCCAAACAAGCTATCCCAATTCCCAACGGCTAAGACATGCAGGCAACCAACCAATCAGATTCAAGGTAATAGATTTCCAACCAATCCCAATCTTCCAACACCAATTAATCTTATCCTATCTACTTCACTAAATACTAAATAGCCTTTAAAACACTCCATTTGTCTTTTCAAATAAAATTTTTTATTTAATATTTAAATTAAAAAAGATACAATAATTACTATCAGTATTGATTTCCACAGGATAGAATTCAAAATTTTAATTAATAGTAAGACACCTAGAAAATAAAGATAGTTAATTAGGAATCATTAATTTTATGTGGTTTAATATTTTCTTTTTGCCTCTCCTTTTAATGCAAATATATTATTTGATTGATTATATGATTTATTATGAATTATTATATATATTAAATATAAATTATACTATATATATTAAAAATATTATTTAATATTAAAACGTGTCCTAATGTGTCAAAATTTAACATTTTTTGAAATTTACGTATCGGCGTGTCGTGTCGTGTCCCGTGTCCGTGCAACGTAGGGTACATATTTGAGCATTATCAAGTGACACAAGTTAAATTAGCCATAATTATGGTTCAACCAGGACTAATTTCGTTCAAAAGCAATTGCGCATGCTGACTTGTCACACATAAGATGGGAGCGTGCCTAGTCATGCATGATTTTGAACCGTAGTAAAAGAATAATGATTAATTTAACTTGTGCTGCTTGACAAATACTAATTTGTTCTATGCTCAAACGCGTCCCTACTCCATGCACCTCTCTATGTACGTCTAAACACCTTTTTTTTTTTACACATTTTTATTTTAAATTATTTTGATTTTTTTTTAAAAATTACTTTTAAATGGCGAAAACAACCCTAATTTGACTGTTGCATTGAAAAGTTTCATCGTGGATCCCATTTAATTTAATACCGTAAGATACATTGTGGAATATGTTTTTGTTTTTTATTTTCTCTGCCCGTATTGTCATATCCACCAGATTGGGTATTTTTTCTTTTAATAAAGTGCAGCTCAACTGTGCGTTTGGTTGAGGGTAAATTCGTTAATTCATAGCGGCACAAGTCAAGTAACATTTGAGTTTGGCCGCTGGTGTTGGCAAAAACAACTAATTTATTGTATTGTAAATAAAAAATTATGAATTTATGACTGTTTTCAAAATAACTACACATTTATTGTATAATGTCACGCCTAATTTAGACGTCACATGTCACGTCCCATGTAGGCGTCACCCCCACGTGGGTCACGCCTAAATGGAGCGTGACATGTGTTGTCCAAATTGGACGTGACACATGTAGACATGATGCCCATCAAGGACGTGACTGTTTTCAAAATAACTACGCATTTATTGCACAATATCACGCTTAATTTAGACGTTACATGTCATGTCCCATGTAGGCGTCACCCCCACATGGGTCACGCCTAAATGGGGCATGACATGTGTTGTCCAAATTGGACGTGACACATGTAGACATGATTCCCATCAAGGACGTGAATAATGCAAAAAAGTCTATATAAACTCTTAGTATACACTCTTCACAACTTTTCTCTACCATCAATTCTTACATTTACATACATAATTATTAGCTTAAATATAGTCTTTTATTTTATTTGTTAACATTATGATTCTGTTGTGTTATATTACAATGGTAGGAAGGTGGAAGGCCGATGAGATGTAATGTTTGAAAGTGAAAAAAGGCCGACACGTATCAAACGCAACTCAACTATTGACGAATTGCATCAGAGAATTCGTCAGAAGTTAA